AGGGATGCACAATATTGGATTTTTGGCTGATATCCGATATGCCAATATGTTAAAACTTATTCGGTCAATAACTGATACCAATGCCAATGTTTTTTTTTCCTAGACCTACTTACAGAGCCTTGTCAATTTGTCCTCATATCAAATGCAGATGCCAAAAAGGGGGTTGAAAATGATGTAACACTTCAACTTGGATTATGTTTAATGTCAAATTTAAATGTTAATTTTTATGCCATATATATATATATATATATATATATATATATATATATATATATATATATATATATTTATTAAGAACGCTTTTTATCTTGAGTTATTTTAATGGAATGGCCGATGTCCAATATTTAACTTTATCGCTAAAATCGGATGATACCGATACCATGCCGATAATATCGTGCATTCCTAAAATATTGCTTAAGAAGCAAATTATTGATACAAAAATGGAAAGTGATTAAAAATAGCAACATAACTTTTTTTTTTTTGTGAAACTAAATGCTTAAAAAAGGCATACAAATTTGGCTGTAAACAGTTAAGTTTACAAAAGGGCGGCTTGTTGTTGAGTGATTAGAGCAGTCGTTCTCCAATGCAAGAGTTGGGGGTTCAATTCCACCTGCAGTCATATGCTGAAGTGTCCCTGGGCAAGACACTGAACTCCTCATTGCCTCTGATGTGTGTCCTATTAGTGTATGAATGTGATAAAGCACTGATTATTATTTGTATAGATCTAGTAGAGTGCTGTATGAATGAGTAAATGAGGGCACAGATTGTAGTGTAAAACGCTTTGAGTAACTTGATAAGATAGAAAGGTGTTATATAAGAACTGTCCATTTAACATTTGAGTTAGATTGTCTCACAAAGTAAAATGCATCTTATTTTGATTTTAATTGGAGTTAAAGAGCATCAGATAGAGAAAAATAAAACTGATATCAAATACAGACATTCAGAGTGTTTGGCCTCCATTACTGATCCATTTTATTTAGTACTCTTGGTAATAAATAAAATGGTTTTCATAAATGACACATTCATAAAAACACATCATGTTGTGTTGTTTCATTGGATTAATCTATAATAGTGCCACCCACAGAGCTCCATTTACTTTCGCGCTCAACACACGAAACATAACACCACACACAGATCATTTGAAGTCTCTGAACTAATGACCAACCCTGTTGTATCTAAACGAAGAGAACCTGAAAATACCACACACCGTGAGTGGGTAGGTGAGCGTGTCTTTTGTGGTTGGGTTCAATTCACTCCAAAAGGTGAGTCATTTATATAGAGATGCTCGTTTCACACACCTTCAGCAGCGCCAGCAGCTAATTCATCCATCACTGAACACTTTATTGCTTCCTGCTGTGCGCACACACTCACACATATATATGAAATATCTATAAATAGCGTGCAAGCATAAAGTATAAAAATATACACACACCAATCTTAATTTAGACTTCTAACTCTGAGGGAAAAAAAAGTGTAATTTTGTGTAAATGTGTGCCCATGACTCACCCCTACATCAGTCAATGTCTAATCAGGTTTATTGAACAAGTTATTACTCACTCATGACATCATTGTTCTGTCGATTTGGACACAGTCTGAGTGATTTTATAAAGATGGAGTGATGACAAGAGAAAAAAATGTGAAAGAGTTGAAAAAACGAGTAAAAAAAACCTAAAACTTCAAAACAAACCTGAGGTGCAGCTTGTTTTATCGTCCTGAAAAAGGGGAAACGTCTCACTCTATGGTTCCTACCTGCTCCTCCCTTGTAACTAAGGACAGATGAGGAGCATCACTACGGTTACCATATCCATGACAACCTCCCCTGCTGCTATTATTGGGCCTGTCGTCAAGGAGACAAAGCAGCGCATTATGGGATGCAGACCGAAATAGAAATCTTGAACAGGAAGCAATTGAACACATCCCCGGTGTTACATAAGAGGGGCTTAAGTTAACGCTAACAAGGGCTGCCATATTTATTCACAAACTCAATTAGAAACATTGCAGGCGAAGTATGAGAAGCATCCCTATAGAATACAAAACCACAGCCATGGTGCTCATGTTTTGATGCTGTAATTAATAATAATAATAATAATAAAAAAACAATATTTACGTGCAACTTATAAATCTAAGCAAAAGAAGACATAATAAAACTGTGACAGCTTTCAGCGAGACACGTATCGCAACCCTGAAACACAATATTTAAAGCCTCATTTGGCTCACATTAACCATTTTAATTAAAGACCTCTTGCTTCGGGATGCAAAACTAAAAATGTGGGAGTTGAACTCCGTTTTGAAACCACTTAAGAGAAGCCCACAAAACCAGCTCTGTCTGATTACTGTTTAGCACCCAGACAGATGCACTGTACAGTCCAACCATACATTTGAGCCTTTTGGTCCATCTGCACGCTGCTTCCTGTAGAAGAGACGGCTATAAAACTAATTGACCACAGCTGGGATGGCGGTGAGAAGCTTGTGTGTGGGGTGTGCGCATGCTATCTGTTCATTTGCTTGACACAATGTTAACGCCGATATAGGTGCAATATTTTCCAAAATACTAGTATTTCATTAACTGAATTTAAAATAATAATTATTGATTTGTTGAAAAATAATGTCTGCTTTTTACAGGATTTAGAGATGCAGAGAGCAGCTGCTCTCCTTCCGTTTTATTCACTCCTCTTTTGAGTCATACACCTGATACCACTTTGCATCAGTATGCGGCACCTCTTGTGCTTTAAAGTCAAACAAGCTTATGATTGGATGAGAACCAAATTTACAATAATAATAATAATAATAAATTAAAATCAGAAATCATGCACATATTAGTATGCTGACATGAGAATGGACTTGTTAGGTGAAGCTTGAGCTTTCGGGAATATATAAATGTGATTTAATAAAAGTAGAAAGAAGAAAAAAAGAGTAAGAGAAAATGTGAAATGTTTTTGTCAGAGGGATTAAAAGATTTTGTTTTTCCTCTTCCTTCTTGAGGGAGTCACCACAGCAAACGAACTCGCAAGATTTGGCATTTATTTGGTGCCTTTCCTGACCCAACCTGGGCTCAAACCTGCAGCCTCGGGATTACAACACCACGTTTCTGACCCATCGAGTCACCGCAGCCCCTCAGAGGGATTAAAGGAACTCATTGCACACCATAAAATCAAACATCAAAAAGGTTATCCTGAGCATTATCAAATGTCTTGGTGTGAAAATTTGCCACTAAATCTGCAGGAAACATTAAAAAAGGTGCGTTTAAAACGTCATCCACTGATGTTAATTTTATTTTGTACATAATAACACAACCTCAGTAATTATTTCAAACAAAAAACAAACCTACATCTTAGCAAAGTGAACATTTTCAACAAAAGTCTCCACTGTCTGATCACTTCGGGAAACATTTAACACATTACTCACTGACACACAGGCATGATGGGAAAGGAGCTACTGCTACAACCCATGTTTTGTTCAACGCTAACATGTTCAGTCAAGCTGCAAAACTAATTGAGGTTGCAATGACAACTTATAGGCAGCAACTGTTTGAAAGCAACTACTGCCACCACATGAGCGAGCTCGTTTTCTTTACTAGCGTGAATGTCAAAAAATGTGATGTAGAAATTATAGTCTGTCACAGGTACAGGTGATTTCAGTGGACAATCTAAGGTTTAATGCAGAGATGAGAAGGAAAATCACTGTTTGGTTATCAACGCTGTTGGACCACCTGAAATTTTTATTTATTTATGCCTTTTTTTCTATGCAGTCGTCTATTTTAGGCTCAAAGTCTTAAAATGAAGACCACAAACTATATCCATCTCAAGGTTCAAAAATATAAAGCAAGGCTCAGCGTTTCAGACAATTGGCTCCTTCTTTAAATCCAAATCACCCAATAAAGCAGAGTGAAATCAGTCCGCTGCATAAAAACATTTCTTTTATCCAGAAAACAAAACCTCCTCTTTCAGAACAACTCAAATCATCTAATTATTAAGAACAATCCAGGAGCAATCTTCCTAATTTATTTGCTTGAATTTGCTCACTTTGGCTTGGATTTGCTCATTTTCCTCTAAACGGTGACTCTTTTCACATCTTTTCAAACCTTCGTGAGTGCGTTTTACCTGCATGAACTTGTCTGAAATGTGGCAACACATGCCAAGACAAACAGAAAACTAGACAAGTGTACACTTTTAAAGCTCACCGAGCAGTCGGACTATTAAAAAAATGGACCGAGCAGCATTAAAAACATGCAATAAATACACCAAACCAGCCGTAAACCTCGTAAAATAACGTGCACTACTCACCAGGTTGGAGTTAGTGGCATTCGAATCATCCTCGGGGAAAGGGATGTACACAGCTAAGGCCACACAGTTGGCGAAGATGGTCATCAGGATGATGATCTCAAATGGTCTGAGCTCTGAGTTGAGGAATATAAACTGTATAAAACAAACATTTGCAACACATGCAAAACAGATTTTACATCTTGTTCCATGAACAGACTCCTATTGCCACAAGTTGGACTTTTTAAATGCAACTTTCTATTCAAATCAAGTTTTGAAAGCAGATTAAAAAAAACCTAGTCATGTCTTGCCATTTATTTAATCAGTTATTTTTAAATCCGAAGGCGTCTTTACATAAGTCAAAAAGGTATGAATGCACACAGAAAAGTGCACAAGCAGCGTATACAAGGAGAGGGATCAAAGCGCCTGCGTTTTGGTTGACAATAAAACACTTTGAGTACGTTACAAACTTCTTTGTGTGGGCAGGAGGAGGGTTAGGTGCACGCTGCATGGCCTAATATGGGTGCGTCGGAGCAGCAGGCCGTTCGCGTGGAAGACGGGATGTGACTGAGAAAGAGAACTGGAATGAGAGGAGCGAGAGAGGCTGAGGGTTTTTATTTGGAACGATCCTTGAGAGGGGACTGACCTCATTATTTTGGGCCTTTGAGAGAAAGAGAACGGAGATCGAGGCAGAGGAAAGGAGAGAACGTGAAGGAGAGACGGAGGAGGTCTGGTTTTCATCAACACAATTACAAACTGCCACAGCTGTCACCTCCTTCCTCTTCTTTTTGCCCTCACTCTACTTTCTTCGTCTATTCTTTCCTTCCTTTGATACTTTTTTCCCCTGCAGGACGCCAGACCTCAAAGTTGAATGTAAACCGTACATGACAAAAGACTTCTGATATTAAACAATCAGACATAGAGAAACTAAACCATCAGGAAGCTAACTTACTAAACCCTGAATCATCAGTGTTTGTCCTACAGTTGTACAAACTGACTGTCAGGGCAACAAGAACAACTGGCAGACCCAAAATATACACACAGCTTACATCATCCAAACGCAGAAAAGTGCAAAAATAAATGGGCTTGTGGAGTATTCCTATAGTTAAAAATAAAAGAGTACTTTGTTACTTACAAAGTTTATATCAAGATCTGTGAAAATCAGTTACTAGTTTATTTGTAGCTTTATTACTCTGTGGTTACTGTGTTCTTGTTTGTGTGAGTTCTATTACTTGAGTTTTATTCGTTTATCTCTGACTTTAGTGCCTCTAAGTTCAGTTTCTGATCAGCTTGTAGGCCTCAGCAGATCTGGGTTCCCTTTTTTCACGTGTTGCGTTCTGCATCTTGTTATCCAGATGTTTAATTCAGTAACTTGTAGTGTTTTGTGCCTGTCTGTGTCTTCAGTTTGGTTTTTCCGCTGCATGCATCCTGTTTCTTAGCCTTGCCCCGCCCACTCTCACCTGCACCCGTTAGTCATCCATTCAGGTGTTTCTCGTTCTGTTCATCAACTCAGGTCTACTTCATTGTATGTGTGTGTGTGTGTGTGTGTGTGTGTGTTTTAAGTTCATCTCAGCTGTCTCACGGGTCCATCCTGCAAACTCTCCGAACTTGACAGTTTATATGCTTTTGAGCCATTTTAGCTCTAATAAGTATACAGTACATTATAAATAGGTATTAAAACACAATACAACCTATGAAGTTACTCGTTCACTTACAGTTAAAGCATTTGCACATGGTTTGTACTAGGTAACCACACTTTAGGTACCAGCTAAGTACCAGGCTATGCCATATATGTTATATATTTTCGTTTAAATGTTCAAACTTAATATTACTACAATTTACAACGTTATTTTAACTTTTTTTTTTTTAATAATTTTTACAAATTTCAGTTTTTTTTTTCTAAACAGCAAAAAGTATTAAGGAGATAGGCTTTACAAAAAAAAAAGCGAGCCCAGCTACTTTTAACGACTCCATGTGAGTTTAAGCTGCCTCTAAATCCGACCTTAGCACCATTGGTCACTTCGTACCCATTTGTTTAGACCAAAAACATTGTCTGCCAGAGGTCTTTTTTCCACTGCTTTGTACCCCATTTAATCAAAACATCAGCTGCAGCAAACAAAATGTTAATGGAAATAGTAACCACTGGGCACAAAGTTAAGGTACAATTTGGCAGAGGTACAGAATGACCATCACCCCAATAATATACACTGCGCCTTCATTTGTTAATGCAAGCTTGCTCTGTGTGGCTTTCTGTCAAGTTTGTAGCATTGTATTGCTTTAGAAGTAGCTCTGCAGAAGAAGGCAAAGAAACAAATAAACTTCAAAATGTTTGTTTGAATTAAGAGCTGACCCTTGGCCACAAGATCGTTCAGCTCATTCAGCTTGGGACAAAAATGCAACAAAATGAATCACTCACCCGAGTACCAAGAGCTGATTAAGCTCACTTCAGATGTGGGGGGTGGGGGCACTAAAACACAGCCCCGTGACTCATTCTGGGTTCCTGATCCGCACTATAATAATAAAAATAAAAACCTCGAGGTTTCTGCCTATCAGGGTGATAATACATTTTCTGCCTGTCAAGAGCAAAAACCTCACATGGTGCTCTGAGCAAGGAATCACATCGAGTCAATTAATAATTTAAAGTTACTGCCACGACAGCAGCAGCGATATCCATCTTTATCCGCGTGAATAAAATAAACATCATGCTGATTTAACTGTAACGTGACTGGCCGACTGTGGCAGCTGTAAACAAACAATCAATAAAGTTTCAAACAGATTTCCATCCTCAAGTGGCTCTGCAGGATTTACAGCTATTTTATTAGTGTTTACTCTCTGATATACGGCTACAAATTCATCATAATTTGTCTATTAAGGACTTTAAGCAGCCAACTGTATAAAGTTAAGACATACTGTCACTCTGGGGCGGCCTCCACACACACACCAGGAGCTGTTTCTGCACATAAACACCACACGCTGCTCCCAATAACACAGATAATTCCTTATCTTGACACAGCCCAATAAGAAACCTCCAATATAGAGATATTATCTGGGGGAGCTCAGCTTTTTGTTGTGATATGTTGTATTTATTATTTCCTTCATTTAGTTGAAAATGCACCAAAATAGCTCAGCTGCTCAGCCTAAGCAGTACAAAGTACATTTTTCCCTAGCACTTTAACTAAACTACCACTTGCTGTGATTTCATTTTAGATAACATGGTAGGTGGGCATAAACGCTCCCCTGATCTTTGTGCTCCTCGCACTGACCTTGCAGCCTCCACGTAATGCTTAAATGCTATAATTACACGGCACGAAGGAGCGCCACGGAGCTCGGCGATTTATCGCCCGCACGAATGCGTGTGTATCCTCCAAGTGTCAGTGTGTCATATATAATCTGAATGTGTTTGCGTCTGAGCTCAGATGGGCCTTATCGACCTGTTGAGAGAGGTAGCTGTTGTCATGGCAACAGAGGAAGATTTTGTATCTGCTATCCCTTAATAAAAAAAGCACTTACCAAAACAGGAATTACACACATGTATACACACATT